GAAGAAGGAAAACGAGTAGGGAAGGTATGAGTTGGGAGAAGCCCATGGAAAACCAACATGTTGAGATAATCTTCAGCTTCTTGGTTAAGATTCTCTGGAGTAATATCAATATTTATGTCACCTAAGATTATTATATTTTGAAACTTTTAAGAGATTCTAGCAAGGTATTTAGAGAGTTAATAAAGTTCGTTTTATTTTTGAAAGCACTTGGTCGATAAATACCTAAAATTGCAGTATCAATATTAAGTTTAATTAAGAGAACGCTGGCTTCTGCTACAGAGGGTTCTTCAATTGAGATGCCTGTAATACAATTTTTATAGTAAACCAGGACTCCGTCATTTTTATTAACTGGGTTACAGGAAGAGATGCTGGAGAAACCTTTTATGGTTGGTATTACCGGGTTGCTTTCTAGAAAACATTCAGTGAGAATGATAATATCCGGGATAGTATGAAAATTTGTAAGTAAAATTTCAAAGTTCGCGAAATTTGCCGATAAGCTCCGAATATTTTGCGTTATAATATTTAGGACTTTATTATGTTTAGGTAAATAGTTTCGGACTTCATGTGGATCACAGCAATGGCTTGAAGCAACCGATAGATTATCGATGTTGTTTAATAATTGTCTATTATTACGATCGAATTTTGAAGCCTTGAGTAACTAAAAGTAACCAATTTGCTAGCACAATACAGTTATTAAATGGGAATAGCAGTGTAAGGTCAGTGAGTGCAAGCATAGGCTTACTAAACTTAAGGATATATGCACGCATTGGAATTAGAGTACAATTTAAATAGTATATATCAGTGAGATAGTCATAGATTATGTATAAGAGAAAAGTGTCTACAATATTTGTGTGTGAATAAAGAGGTATGAAATTAATTACGTGAGTAACAACTCTAGAATAATATTTGAAAATTGAGCCTAAGGAACCAAATACTATCAGAAATGCTAAATTATATAGGTATATTATATGAGGAAATATAAAATATAATATAATACATATGTAAAGGAGCGTCGGCACTATAGCACAGTTACAAACAATGATCTTACCTAGTACTAATATCATAGTAATTAAAAAACTAAATCTAATCATAAACAAAGACGGAAATACGTCGCAAGGATCTAGTTTTTTGGCTGGGGGCCAACCAGCTGACTTTCATTAGTAACAACAATGAGTTTGGTGTGGTCTGCCTGCCTCAGCAGCACTCGGCCTCCGGAAGTCCAGCAATACTTATATTTTTCCGTCTTGGCGTATTCTCGAGCTAGATAGTATAGGCGGCGTGCCTGTGCCGTCAGATGCTCGGCGAAGTAAATCGGATGTTGCGGACCACCGACGATGGTGGAGTTGAGTTTGTTACTGCCTCTGTTATGTTCTTTGAAAGCCTTCAGAATTCTTCCCCTCGTAATAACTGAATTCAGGGTGCATACCAGAGTGATACTATCAGACTTTGACGGGACGCGGCGGATATCAAATATCTCAGACAACGAGACTTCCACCGATATCTCCTTGAAAAGCCGAGTGACAACAGATATCTGCTCATCCTGAGACAGAGTTCTGTTTGCCAGCCGGATGTTACGAATTTCCAGGGAGCTCAGCCTAGAACGACGGTCCATATCCTCTGTTGTGTCTTCAACCTTAGATACACGCTCGAGGAAAGATTGTGTTTGTTTTTGATGTGAACTCAATTGTAACAGCAAGTCATCATACTTTTGCGACAAAAATTCTATAGATTTTTCTGTTTCACTCTGCGAAGCCAGAATTTCTGTGTTTTGTCGCACAACATCCTGCACGTACGTTTTTATTTCTGACAATTTCTCATCAGTTTCCTGTCGCCACATATTAATCGTGTTTAAGAATTTATCGATTTTTGACTCTTCCGAAGCTCCACCACATTCGCACCGCCTACGCTTCGAACGTTGAGTAATGTTGTCATCAATAGTGCTAGTATCACTTAAATTTAAGTTTGGAGCGGAGCCATACTGTACATCTTGTTTACATGGACTTCTAATCATTTTGTGATCGCAAACAGAAGAAGCTATCCGTGTCAATGCAAAAATATATATAAAGGCGACAACACTTAAAGTGATGTGCGATTTACTAATAATCTTATGGTATAATTAGTAAATCACTATTGGGCCCTGTACTAGCCACGCCTCCTTTAACTTGCTCGTACGCAGGTGGGCGTTACTGCTAATTAGCCACTGAATTGCGGGATGCGTAACGACAAGATGCGCCAAATATAATTATCTCACTCACTCTTATGCTGCGTTACTTGAGTGGCCTCCGAGCTTGGTGGGAGAGCCGTAGTCACCTCGCAGTACACGAAGCTTGTCTTGAGTATCCTCGGGAGTTATGTGCGCCTAGTACTCGAATCACTTATTTTTGAATATATTAAATTTAAAAATATTTTTAAAATAATTTTATAAGGTGTAGCCGTAAAACACGTCTAGTCAGCCAGACATCCAAGGGGGGAGAGGAAGATGAAGCCGAACTGGTAGAAAAGTACGAATAGGAATTGTTTGAATACTGAGTTGATTGAGAATTTAAATCTGGTTCTCGCCGCGAGTAGACGTATCGTTCGAAGCTCCGCACATTAATATTATTTTTTTATCAGATAGTCTGTATAAGTGATTGTGAAATAAATGTAATTAACTCAGGAACTGCAAATGTGACCCAATAACGTGTATAAACCATTAACAAAGTGCTGCAGTGTTTAAATAAATACTTCTTATTACATAAAACGTAAAATTGATTGTCATAAGTGCAGTGCAGTGTGGCATCGGTCCTCCAATCGCTACGATTGGTCAATTTAACTATGCGAACGTAACCATATATGGCAATGTCGGCAATGCAAATCTTGAGTGTACTTCAAAATAGACAATATAAATAACTTCTCAAATTTCACTGTACTCCTTTAAGTTACCAAGTGTAACGATCATACTGGCATTCCAAGTTTGGGTACGAACCTGTAAAGAGCGTAATGCCGGTAAATCGGTTTGAGATGATTAGGAGCTACTTACATTTCAACGATAATAATAAACATCTTCCGCAAGACCAATCTGGTCACGATCGCCTTCATAAGATTCGGCCTGTAATAGAACAGCTAAATACGACATTTTCATCAGTTGCCATTGACCAACGACTTTCGATAGATGAGCAGATGTGTTCAACTAAAATTGCACATTTCCTAAAGCAATATTTACCTAAGAAGCCTCACAAGTGGGGTTATAAGCTATACGTTCTCTGTAGTCTTATGGGATATGCTTACAGATTTGAGGTCTATTCTGGACAAGAAGAAAAAAAAAGACAAACCAGCCGATGAGCCTGATCTTGGAATAACAAATAACGTCGTTATACGTTTGGCGAGAGTTACACCAAGGAATAACAATCATATTGTGTTCTTCGATAATTTTTATACGTCCCTGCCCTTAGTAAATTATTTAAACAAACAGGGTATACAATGTGTCGGAACTATTCAGCAAAACAGGCTGCCGAACTGTCGGCTCCCTGACAAAAAGGAACTAATGAAAACTTCTATTCCGAGAGGTACATATGAAGAACGCGTTTCCCATTCAGAAGGAGTAGACTTTTCGGCCACTGCATGGAAAGATAATAAAGTCGTCACTCTTTTATCGACTTACGTTGGTGCCGAGCCTGTTGGAAAAGTATCAAGATACGATAAGAAGGCTAAACAAAAAATTGACATCCCTTGTCCCAAAATTGTACAAGAGTACAATATGCATATGGGCGGGGTCGATCTAATGGATAGCTTTTTAGGACGCTATCGAATTCGAGTAAAGAGCCGGAAATGGTATTTACGCTTGTTTTATCACCTTCTGGACCTCACAGTAATCAACTCATGGGTGCTTATGAAACAAAATCTAATTGCTAAAGGTGTCTCAAAAAAGCAACTGCCTAATCTTGGGGAGTTTCGTAATTGTTTGGCTGACACACTGTGTAATATAGGTAAATCTAGTGGTAGTAAAAGAGGACGTCCTAGTACTTCCTCTCTAGAACGCGAGCTTCATATAAAAAAACAGAAAGGTCCGCAACATCCACTCCCGTCAAAAGATGTGCGCGTAGATGGATTCGAACATTTGCCTGTATTTGCCAACCGATTACGGTGCAAGATGCCCAATTGTAAGTGCACCACACAATGGTCGTGTACCAAATGTAATGTACCGTTGTGTCTAAATCAGAGAAACAACTGTTTCAAAGATTTTCATACACTGCAATAAGACTAATTCGTAAATAATCGTATCATATAATAATACTTAGTTAACATTATTAAAAGTAACTGTAATGCATACTGATGCAGATCTACATCAGTAAGTTTTTGTATAAAAATATACTTTTATAAAAAAAAAATTTTTTTCTTTATTTTTCCCATAATCTATGTTTAATTTTCTACCTGTTTCAATTTATGGTATTTAAAAAGGAAAAAACATGCATTTAAGGGTTAAAAGGTTTTAACACCTATTATAATAATAATAATAATATTATAATACTTTTATTAAAAATATACAAACTTAATGGTTCACAATATGCATGATTTTCTATAACACTATATATTACTCTCATTGTTTTGGTTCTGAAAATTAATGAAATTGTTCTAATTACAATTATGACTTCTGTAGTACCAATTCTGATCCATAGATGGCGCCACTTGGTCTATAAAACGCGGTATCGAAGTGTCCTCTAGAAAACATGACCTCCGATTGGACATTCTATGTATTAATTCCTGTTAGGTACTTAATAATAATTCACATTTCACAGTCAAGGTCACGGTGTCGCATTCGAAACGCCTGCCGCCATATACCTAGAAAGTTTCCAATTCTTAAGCCCCCAGTACACAATGGCCTGTGATAAGGCAACGCTTTGCAATGCACGATCACTTGGTGTTCACTGTTAAGGAGTTATAGTTGAGAATTGATCACTAATTGATCGAGGGTCTTGAATTAAATTATTGCAATAATAACACGTGCGAATCGTATGACACTTTTATTTTAACTGACTTAGAATCCCATTATCATCGAAAATGGGCGTAAGACTGCGCAGTTTACTCTTTTTAGAAACATATCCCAGAGTCTTTAATTGTTTCATTTCATCCTCTATTAATTGAACTTTAAGAGAAACATTCTTCCTTATGTTTGATGCGAACTCTTTCATTCTCCATACCCTTTTACAGGCAGCTACACCTATTCTAATTCGGGCCGTAGCGCCTAAGTGGTTTATAGACAAGGTCTGGAGAAGCGTAGAAGTCCCTTTCGCAATAGCGTACAAATCGTCGTACGGTGATTTCCCTTGGGGTCTGATACTAGGAACCTCTGTTCCATATTGTGATACGAATTTCCCATCAATGTACCAAGAAGTGTACTCTGCTATTCCCTCAGGCAAGAAGAAAGTCTTGTCAGGGCTCAAGTTTATGCCAATTAGAGAGAGGTTCTGTTTATTCCTAATTACACATCTTTTGTTGTTCTCAGCATTGTCTGACAAGTATTTAGTAGTCGAGTCATCACTTGATCTCATACAGACGACCTTCATCTGATTTCTTGGCATGTTCAAGTTCATGGGCAACAACCCTATCGTTGTACTCGCTGCATTCAGCATTCCCATCAACATTCCAGGGCTCGACCTTAAGTACCTCCGGTCGTCAGTTATGTAATCTTTTAGCCTACCATACCACTCTTTTGTCCTCTCATTCATTGAGACCATATGTTCATCTTCGGATGTACATAAAGCAGTTAAAGATTTTATCTTCTCTTCTTCTTGTGTATCTTCGATGTCGCCCATACTCAAATTTACATCTAATAAAGATAACCAGGCGGGTCCATTCCACCATAGTAAGTGATCTGATAGATCTAAAGCTTGTAGACCTCTTGACGCACAGTCGGCCGGGTTCATCTCAGAAGTAACGTGTCCCCATTGTTCGTAATTTAAAATATTTAGTATGTCAGATACACGGTTACTTACGAACGTGTTCCAGCGACTAGGTCCTCCCCTTAGCCATGCCAGGACTATGGTTGAATCTGTCCATGCATGTAAGTATTCGTTAGATATGTTTAACACTTGTGATATTTCAGAAATTAGCTTGGCCGCCAACACAGCACCACATAATTCCAGTCGAGGTATTGAAATCTGTTTCGTAATTGGTGCAACCTTAGTTTTGGCTGATATTAAATTCACATAAACCTTATCACCTTCAATGACTCGCATGTATACTGCTGCACCATATGCTGTCTGTGAAGCATCTGCAAAGACATGTAACTCTGCTTTAGATGTGGAAGAATAATGTAGCCACCTCGGTATATTAATGCATTTAATATGTATCAAATTTTCTCTAAATTGTAACCATTCCTTCAGTAAATCTCCTGTTATAGTGCTGTCCCAATCTAATCCAGTAAGCCATAACTTCTGGATTATTAACTTTGCTATAACAACAACAGGGGCTATCCATCCCAAAGGGTCATACAGTTTCGCTACTTCTGAGAGAATCTGCCGTTTAGTTATAGGTTCTTTTACTATAGGCACATTTAGAGTATATTCGAATTTGTCTATGTCTCTATTCCAACTCACTCCTAATACCTTAACTAGGTTATTCACCTTCAGAGGCAGTTCATGATCATCTCGTTTATTCTCACCGATATATTTTAGCACATTTTGACTGTTACTGCTCCACTTTTGGAGCTCAAAACCTCCTAAATTCATTAATTTACTCATGTCATTATATATATTAATAGCATCAGCAACTGTCTCACATGACGTCATTAAATCATCGACGTAATAATCACGTTTAGTTATATGAGCAGCAACAGGGAACTTCGATTGTTCATCATCAGCTAACCTCTGGAGTGACTTCACAGCGAGATAGGGCGCACATGCTGTCCCAAATGTTAATCTTAAAAGCTTGTAGTGTTTTATTGGCTCACTCGGATTAAATCTCCATAGAACTCTTTGGTAATTTGTATCATCTTCTGACACCCTCACCATTCTATACATTTTAATTACATCTGCAGTAAGGCAAATTTTATAAAGCCTCCATCTCACCAATATGTGGCGCAAATCTTGCTGCAACTTAGGACCAACATGTAAATCATCATTTAAAGAAACATTATTAACTCCTTTGCACGAAGCGTCAAAGACTATACGAAGTTTCGTCGTCTCCTTATCTTCGCGAAGTACCGCGTGGTGCGGGAGATAGACTGCAGTGGGACTATCAATTTCTGCATGTCTAATTTCAACCATATGATTTAAATTTATATATTCGTTTATGACCTTGTGGTATTCTTCTTTAAGTTTCGGGTTTTTTGATAAATTTTTTTCTAACATTTCAAACCTCTTGGCAGCTATTTCTTTAAGATTTCCTTGCCTACATTGTGGATTTCTAGTTTTAAATGGTAGTTTAACCACAAATCTTCCTTCTTCATCTCTTATAGTTGTACTGTCATAAAAAATTTCACAAAATTCCTCTTCTTTTGATAGTCTCTTTTCTATAGTATTTGGTTCATTCTCGATTTCCCAAAATTTCTTGAGCATCTCGTCTTCTTTAAGTTGAACATGCAAACTTGCAACATTTGTGACTGAAGAACCCGTTTCTTGAGGCAGCTTTCCTGATAGCACCCAACCTAGGCATGTTCTCTGTGCTAGTAAGTTGCCCCTAGGATGTTTGATTATACCATCTAAAAGAATGTCACTGTATACGTCTGCTCCCAAAAGAATGTCAATTCTTCCAGGTGTTTTGAAGGCTGAGTCAGCCAACTCTAAAGATTCTAGGTCTGACCATTCAGGAGCACTAAGTTTGGTAGTAGGCAGAAGTGTTGTTACTGAACGCAATACATATGCATTCACTCGTATTATTGTCTTAGGATCGTGGCGAGATTTCACGCTAAGTGAAACCATGTATTTGATTCTCATTCGCCCCTCTCCCACACCTGACACCCAACCACTTACTGATCGGCGCGTAAGACTAAGTAATTGTACTGTAGCTTCAGTTATAAACGATGCTTGCGACCCTTGGTCTAACAATGCTCTAATAATATGTTTGCAACCATTCCTACTCTCTACTAATACCTCAGCAGTAGCTAATAGGACACTATTTTGACAATTTTCCTTGGAAAAGTTAGTTACAAAGTGTACATTGTTTGTTATAGAATTAAGCTTACCTTTAGTTTGCTCAGACATGGTACCTGTCAACGTGGATTCCCCTTCACTCGTAGTCGCCGTGTTTCGATCTCTCTCGTAGTGTAGCAATGAATGATGACGACGCCCACATTTTCTGCAACACGTTGGCTGACGACATCTGATTACTGAATGTGACGGGGCAAGACAATTAAAACATAATTTATTCTGCTGGACGAACTCTTGCTTTTCTTTTGTAGACATGTTTACGAACTCTTTACAATAATAGATGTAGTGTTCACCACTGCATAACACACATTTGACTTCCTGCTTTTTCACATCATTGTGTATACCTGAATGAAAGGACTTAGGTTTATCAATAGGTGTAACAACAGGCTTAGGGTATAGTGATTTTACTCTGTGACTGTCTATCATTTCTAACGATCGAAATCTAGCTTCTAGAAAATCCCGCAGTTCTGTCCACGTAGGTAATTCGGTATTACTCCAACTAAGTTGTTGTTCCCATCTCTTTATTGATTCAAAGTCCATCTTTGATATTACTAAATAGTTAATAATCATATCCCAAGTGTCGGTTTTCACACCGAGATTTTGCAACGTTTTTAAGCATACCGACGTAGTGTCTACCAATTGTTTGATTGAACTCGATGTCTCCGTACATATAACCTTCTGTGTAAATAATGTTTTTAAAATTGCATAGCAATTTAACCGTTTATTATTATAACGTTTCACTAACTGGTTCCATGCCTCATCGTAGTTTGCGTCCGTAGTCGAAAAGTTGCGTATTAATAGTTCTGCATCACCCGATAAATTACTTTTTAGATAATGTAGTTTTTGCACCGGCGTTAAAGACTTGTTGTTATGAATCAAGGAGCAAAATAAGTCATAAAAAGTTGTCCATTCTTCATATTTACCTCCAAACTTCGGTATTTGTATTGACGGTAATTTAATATCATTTAATAATCTCTGTTCGTCGCCACCCGCTATTGAGGTATGTGAAAAAGGAGACTGTTTGGTTAAGTGTTGAAAGTCCTCCTTCATAGTGGACTTGTACTGAACTCATCAAAAATTTCACTAAAGTTTCCTTTAAAATAGGTACTTTCCTTTTCTTCGTCTTTAGATATTTTTAAAATTAAACTTTTGTGTCCTTCCTTAAAGTCCCGCCATAATTGTTCTAAAACTTCTAATCGAGTTTCTATATATGGTATTTTTATTCTGTCTTTCGGTGATTTCCTATAATTCTTTTCTGCACTTCTTAATGTCTCCAACAACTTAAATTGATACTCAAAAAGACCCTCCATCGTACACTATGACTTTGAGCGTAGTTCGTAATTATCCGATTACTCAGACCCACTGAAAAAACTGAACACAGCCCAAGGTAAAAGTACTTCACAGTATGGTGTATATATAACGTAATTTATTTCGTTTTTATAGGTTAAATTCACTTTTATAATGTTATTATAACACTGTAATGAAACACTGATCACACAAAAATCCTTCCAACTATTCCTTATCGCTTACGAATGCGAGTATCTATTGTTCTCAATGTTCGCCAACTATCGAACAATAGCGAAGTTATCCGGTTCGATTTTGGACCATATGTTAAGGAGTTATAGTTGAGAATTGATCACTAATAGATCGAGGGTCTTGAATTAAATTATTGCAATAATAACACGTGCGAATCGTATGACACTTTTATTTTAACTGACTAAGAGTAGTGGACTGTATACATATTTGGACATTCACACAATGGCGCATGGCTCATTGCTGCCTGGCAAACCACTTGCGATGGCCGTCGAAGTAATTACGACTGCGGCTATCTCTCTTGTAACTTCCTCACAGGGCTTTAAAACTAGGACCAGTTTTTCTATGATAGACCAATAGTTCGCTGACAACACTGGAATATTTGTGTTCAAATTTGAAATTGCGCTATTAAGTTCCTCTTTCAATAGTAATAAGCGTTCTAACATATAGTATGTAGAGTTCCACCTGGTAGGAATATCTTGAAGAGGCCTCATTATCGGTTTACCAGCTTGTTCTAAGTAGCGTTTTAATTTTTCCCACGCAACCGTACTTTTTTTAAATGTGAGACAACGTTTTTTGCATTTTGTATGATATTAGAGATCGTACTATTATTTTCTAAAGCCTTAGTAACTACTAAATTAATGCAATGCGCATAGCAATTGAAATGTTTCCAACCAAAACATTTCTCTATAGCACATTTAATATTGGACCCATTGTCTGACACTGCTAGAATAATTTACGTTCTAGACCCCATTCCTGAACGATGCGCGATAACTCTTCAGCTAATCGGAAGCCCTGTGCGACGTTCCACTTAACGCACAATATTCTAACTGACTTCATATAAAGCAGGCAGCAGATTATTTGAAAAAAATTTTGGTGGGTAAAATATAATTAGGAAAGGCAAACGCAATAAGTTCCCGAAACCCCCTGTCTTCCACTATAGAAAATGGTTGTAAATCGTAAACAAATAGATTTAATATGTGTCGATCTATATCTTTTTTAATTTTTGCGCAGTCTTGACGTAAATAGGACGTCATTAAATTCCTTGATAATATAGGTGCTGCATTAGGATATGAAACTGAGACGGGATTACCTTGCAGTTGCGTTACTGCATCAGTAACAGAAGCTGCAGCCTGCCTCTCTGTCATACCAGCAGCAGCTGAAACGCCTTGCCTGGGTACTAACTGTATAGTGCCATGTTTTCTATATATGTGTTTTGTTAAATTGGAGACTGAGGACTTGTATGATATATCTATTTTGCAATACCTGCATTGAGCTTTGTCATTGCCCTTGTCTTCAAAATGATCCCAAGCCACGCTCTTTTTTGGCGCCATAATGTAATGAACAAATATATAAAATATTTACATGTATCCAAATCTCCCACCATAGAATAGTTTATATATTTCAAAAGTTAGAAAGTTATTAATTTTTTTATATTATATTCACAATATCCTGTACACACTTAAACTTTATAATAACTTTTTACACTAAATTTATTTACTATTGTTAAATTTTTTTTATCCACTATCACTATTAGTACAATGCTATTATTAATTTATTATAATTATTCTAGAGCTAGAGGCTTACTCGAATTTACCAATTAATATAAAACAATGCGCGCCGCAATTATTGCATATAAATTAACACCTAATAAATTAAACATTCTTCAGTGTGAAACTGAGAAAGAGAACTTTCTTTCCTTTTTTTGTCTAAACATGTAAAATCTGTCAATGCTTAAAGATGCTTAAAACTTTTACCATAAGGTCTATTATTTCGTGACTAGATATTAGTATTACCTACACTAACACACATTTCGTGATGTGGATTGAAATAGCTGCCGTAAGTTGTAAGGCATAAGGTAGAAATTTATTTGGCGCTTGCAAGGGTTTCACTCACACATTAGTAAAAGAACGCGTCTCGCGCTTCAGAGTATTTCGTGTTGTGGATTAAATAGCTGCCGTAAGTTGTGTGGCATAAGGTAGAAATTTTTTTGGCGCTTGCAAAGGTTTCACTCACACATTAGTAAAAGAACGTGTCTCGCACTTCAGAGTATTTCGTGTTGTGGATTGAAATAGCCGCCGTGAGTAGTGTCGCATAAGGTATAATTTATTTAGCGCTTGCAAGGGTTTTCGTGAAACGCCTTAGTACTCAAATGTGGGACTTAGGGTGAGATCTATAGTGCGCACTTAGACTTTGCTCTGACTTAACTATCGAGCTAAGACACAGTCGGTATTTATAGAGCAAACTGCGAATCTCTCCCTAGTGTTGGCTTAGCTTAATCTCAAGTCCACGAAATCGACGACTTACCAAAAACTTTGACTATAAGCCTAACAAAAATGATGGCCCAAAATTTGCTTTACCATCATATCTTTTACTGGACTTTTTATTTTTGTCGGTTTTTAATGAACGGTGTTGCCATTTTGTATCGGAGTTCCATAGACTTTGGGAAAAATAGAATTTGAATTCAAAGAAATTATAAATGATCTTGATAAATACCTATGAAATGCATGAATTAAAATAATTACACATTATTATGTGGTAAGGTCGTAAGTTCTAGTTTATATCGTGCCGGCGGATCGTTTAGAAAAACACGTCTTTACTTCACAAATGTATATTGGCAACTAAATTAATAAATTTCATCGTAAGAATAATTGAGACTACATATTTTTAGATTTAAAATTGCAAAATAGAATCACCATAAGCCGCCCACCAAAGGACTACTAAAGTCCTTTCAAAATAAGTAAAATTAACAAAACTTATAGGTGCATGCTTAAACTTACATGCTTTGAGTTTGCTTCTACAACAATTATTAAGTTATCGGTATATGGTGCGGTCAGAAGAATTTATACAAAAAAGAATAGTACAATAATAAAATTTAACAACTATATAGCACTAATCTAATTCGATGGGCAATGGACATAATTTGGTTACGCATCGCTTTGCTATATGATCACCACTCTTTACACTATAGACTCTGGTAAGACCGTCAGGGCCAGGATGCTTGTCGATTATTCGTCCCATATGCCACTTTCCTGGTGGAAAATTGTCCTGTTTTATGAGGACAATGTCTCCTATCTTGAATTCGTCTTCGCGTTTTAACCATTTCGGTCTTTGTTGCAGCCGCGTCAAGTATTCTTTTTGCCATCTTGACCAGAAGTCGTTCAGCAGTTTTTGCGTGTATTGCCAACGTGTCAGGTTGCTTATTTTAGCGTCTTTTAAGTTCACATCAGGCACGGTTACAGGAGCTTCAGTTATTAAAAAATGACCCGGAGTTAATGGTTCCAACGTGCTGTCTTCCTGCGGGCAAAGCGGTCGTGAGTTCAAGCACGCCTCAATTCCACAGAGAACCGTCGTAAGCTCTTCATAGGTAAGGTTAGTATTAAGGATTCTTCGTAGATGGTGCTTAATAGACTTCACACCCGTCTCCCATAAATTTCCAAAATTTGGGGAGTAGGCCGGGATGAAGTGCCATTGTGTTCCATCATTAGCAAGTAATTCACTAATTTCTCCATCAAACTGTAGGCGAGCTTCCTTCCAGGCTTCAACCAGATCTTTGTTAGCACCAATAAAGTTTCTTCCCTGATCACTCCACATATTTGTACATCTGCCTCTTCGTGCGCAAAATCGTTTAAAGGCACCAATGAATGCAGCTGAAGTCAGATCACCAACCAACTCCAAGTGGATCGCTTTCGTGGACATACATACAAAAATGGCTATGTATGCCTTGCCAGTTTGGGAGCCTCTGCCCCTTTTTATTAAAATTTGAATTGGTCCCGCAAAGTCGACACCGGAGTTAAGGAAGGGCCGAGCTGGTTTTACCCGAAAACTCGGTAAGTCTCCCATCAATTGTGTTTTTACCCTCGCCCCATGTCTAGCACATATCAAGCATCGATGGATACACTGCTTTACTAAGGACTTCGCGCGGAGTATCCAGTATTTCGATCGCAGGTAAGTGAGCATCAATTGCAGTCCTCCATGCAGCGTCTTCAAATGTGCTTCTGCAACCACTAAATAGGTAAGTCTACTTGCATGACCCAAAATGATTGGGTGCTTCACTTCATTAGCCAGTTCAGAGTTCCTGAGCCGACCGCCCACCTTCAGGATACCATCTTCGTCAAGGTAAGGATCTAGTGCTTTTAGTTTGCTTGTTTTCTTAACTCTTTTTTTTGTTTTTAATGATTCTATATCTTCTGTAAATTCTTCTTCTTGTGCTCTTTTTATACAGGTTTGCATCGATGCGTGTAGTTCTTCAGTTGTGATTTTGCTATCTATTCTGTCTTTTAATGTTTTTTGTTTCAGGAATCTTCGGCAGTATGTGATTGTTCTAAGTAGCTCTAATAGTGTATCAAATTCTTCAAATTGTGTATGTAGTCTCTTCTCTTGTTCATTTTTATTGTAAGTTATGTTTAAATTTAGTATTTTTTTATTCTTCCTTTCAATCTCTGTTTGCATAATGTTTGGTTTAGTGAACTGTATCTTCGATTGTTGTAACCAGTCTGGCCCATGCCACCATAATTCACACTTTTTTAGATTTTCGACTAACATCCCCCTGGAACCAACATCAGCTGGATTATCTTGAGTTTGGACGTGATGCCACTGACTGCAGGATACATTAGTTGTAATCTCAACATTTCTGTTTGCCACAAACACCTTCCAGTTGTTTGGATCTCCAAATAACCATGATAGGACAATGGACGAATCTGTCCAAGCATAAATTTGAGTTGCAGGTATTCTCATTGCTTTACCAACTTGCTTAAGCAATCTTGAGAGTATCAACGCGCCGCAAAGCTCTAAACGCGGTAAGGATATTGTTCTCAATGGAGCCACTCTTGTTCTTGCTGCGATAAGCGTCGTTTTGTTGGTACCGTCTGGGTAAGTCACTCTGCAATATACTACAGCACTATATGCTTGAATGGATGCATCGCTGAATCCATGGAGTTCTATTGACTCTCTGTTGGCGCACGTCGTACCTACCCATCTTTCTATGTAGATTCCATTCACATGTTCAAGGTCAGATCGCAATGTGACCCATTTGCTGGCTATTTTAGAATTCAATGCATCGTCCCAGGTAACCTTTTCAAGCCATAGTTCTTGCATTAATATCTTTGTCAGAACGATGCTAGGTGCAATCCAGCCGAGTGGGTCAAACAACTTTTGGATGTCAGACAGAATGCTTCGCTTCGTGATCACTTTATTGATTGGAGGTAAGTTTACATTGTACTCGAATCTGTCTTTTCCTAAATTCCATTGTACGCCAAGTGCCTTTATTGTTCCATCAGTCTTAAATTCCAGATTAGCATTAGACGATCTATCACTAGGATCGACTGTTTCCATGAACTCTCGGCTGTTGGATGACCATTTTTTTAGTTCGAATCCACCCAAATGAAGAAGCGCTCTAAGATCTTGACTCTTCTTTATTGCTTGTTGCAGACTGTCACTTCCAGAGATTGCGTCGTCTACATAAAAATCTTCACGTAATATCTTAGCAGCTTCTGGATACCGGTCGCCTTCATCTTCTGCCAATTTCATAAGGGTTCTTACGGCGAGATAGGGAGCAGAAGCTGTTCCAAATGTAACGGTCAACAATCTGTAGTCTTTGACTTCTTCAGATTGGTCATTTCTCCACAAAATTCTTTGATAATCTGTGTCTTCTCGGTCAACCCATATCATTCGGTACATTTTCTGGATATCAGCCACAAAACAAACGGCGTGAGTTCTCCATCTCATTATCAGGTTTCTCAAATCGTCTTGCAGTACAGGACCCGTCAACAGTTCGTCATTGAGAGAGATACTGTTGGAGCCCTTGCACGAGGCGTCAAATACGACACGAGTTTTTGTGGTTTCTTTGTCATTACGGATCACGGCGTGGTGAGGTAAGTAGACTGATTTCTTATTTATTTCTTCTGTAGGTATTTCTTCGATATGTTTAAGGTCTATGTAGTCTTCGATTACCTTCTTGAATTCTTGCTTTAATTCTTTATTTTGATTGAACCTTCTTTCTAATTGCATTAGTCTCTTCATTGCTATTTCTCTCGTATTTCCTTCTGTTGATTTAGGTTCTTCAATGTTGAATGGCAATTTGACAACATATCTTCCACATTCATCTCGCTTCTGTGTCTTAGTGTATATATCTTCGCATAACTGTTCCCTCTGTGTTAGGTTTCTTTTCGTATCTTCATCAACTTCCCATATTGTTTTCAGTAAATCTTCTATATCAACTTCTTGTTTCATGACCGTTAAGGGTTGTTCATGCTTGTTGACCTTGATGTCAATGCCACCCATAAGAATCCATCCCAGGTATGTATCTTGTGCGCATGGTGTACCTGGTGGACCT